CTTAATGGCGTCATGGCGAGTCCTGGAATTATCTCCTCGCCGCCAGCCTGGACCTAATGAAATCCTGCAACTCAGGTTGTGATGTGTTGCGTTGCGTTCCGTTTTGCGCCGTAAACTCCCCATTGTCGTTAAACCCGGAACCCTAAACTGACGAGGGCCGACTGTGCACTGGCTCGCGAACCCGGGCCCCCGTTGCCGATGCGGCGCGTGACGGCTATCTGCGGTCGAAGGGGTAGTGCGCTTACAAGTCGAGCCTCAGCAATCAATGGATACCATGCCCTTGACGCCGCCCGGTGCGTGAATTCGTGAGATTCGTGTGAATGGTCTCGCACACACCCCGACGACCCGGATTTCTGAGCCGTTGCCCGGTTCGAATATCATGTATGCGTGTGAGATGCGACTTTGACGACGACGGTCGTCGATAGCTCCCAGCACCCTCGCTCAAGCTCAGCAAGGTTTAGTCTGGGAGGTGATGAGAGCTTCCCCAAAGCCCAGGTTCCTCCTCTATTTGGGCCCGGATCGCCAGGAGGAGCTTGAAGGGGGTCGCGTCATGGGCGCCGCGGTGTCACTGCGGTCGCTGTCCATAGAGCGCTTCTCGGGGGACGGGCTGCGAGGAAAGTAGGACGTCATGTTGGGGACCTGGATGCCGGGCGAGGGCAGGTCGGACGGCGAGCGACGGGTCTCGCGCCAAGAGGCGTAGATGGACTTGCACAAGTGTGCGGACATGGTGTACGTGGGCGACATTTTTTTTTTTTTTTTTTTTTTTTTTGGATGTGTGAGACTTGGGTTGTCGGTTGTATGAGAAGGGAGCTTCTCTAGTGTTGCTGGCCACGGAGGGTGGTTGTGTGTCTCTCGTATAAGTGCCAAGTAAGGCTGAGGTGAAGTGAGCTGCAGTGCAGTTGATTGTGGGGTTCTTGACACGCGTCTTTAGGTGGCAGCGACAGGAAGAGCGTGTTGATGAGCTCGGTTTACTACTATAATCCTTGTGAGGGAGAACGGGAAGCAGGAGATGGGAAACGGGAGGTTAAGAGGGGGTGGACAGACGGGCTGCATTATATCTGGGCTGGGAAAGTCCTAGAGACAGACTGACACCAGGCACCAGGGGTCCCTTTTTCTCTCTCTTTGTGTGTTTCTGCTTCCAGCTCGATCGGTACGAATCCCACATGTACACCACACTTGTCAACTCGGACCCAAACCCACGGGCAGGGGGTCCGCAAAACATGCGATTTGGCGTCAAAAAGGGCAAAAAACGGACGAGGACGGAGGACATGGGGGAGATTGTGTACGTGTGACTCGCTACAAACCGCCCCCCCCCCTTTGGGTCGTCGGGCAGTGAGTTGCAAAAGCCTGGCTGGCGTCGGGGAGAGCCGCTACAGATGAGATGCTCCAATGGGGAGTTTGGAAACCCGGAGGCGGGTGATTTCTGGCCAATGATGGATGAGGTAAAGTAAGCAGTCGGGTCAATGTGGTGCAATCTGCGGGAAGATGATGAGAGGGAAAACGTGTGATTCGAGGCCTGTGGCTGTGCTGAATGGCACCACGGACTGAAGTACGTATCCAAGGCAGTCAGTGTCCCTCTTGGGTTGCCTCGATGTGGTTGGCTGGTAGATGGATGATCTGTTTAGCGGGGTATTAGGGAGTTCTTCGTGAAGTAGCCGTCTGTCGTATCTCCCCAGATTAAATTGCTTTCCGCCGGCAAACTGCTTACTCGAGGGAGGGAGCTTTCTCTTTCGTCCACGGTCGACGCATCTGCGCCTGCGCCAGTATTGGGCGGCTGGAGAGACGACGGAGAGAGGGGCGGGCGGGCTCGTTAGTGTCTTGAATGGGCAGGCACCTACCTACCTACAACGAACGGTACGTCACCTCTTGCGTGTTGGCGATGGGGAATGAGCAACCAAGAGGCGGTCGGCACCAGCCACAAAGGGCCGATCGCCAGAGCTTGCAGGTACTGTTTGTGCACGCTGCAACACTTTCGGATGACCAGGGTCAAAACCAAGGCAGCAGCACCACAAACAAGTATTGTACACATTACACTCATAACGCAGGAGCAGGAGGAGGACCCAAGGTGTGCATGTCTGAGAATGGCAGGCAGACTCCGCGTGGAGGGGCCGCTTCGGGTCGGAGCTTCCCCCGAGCCTGTTCCGACTTTCTCCCGACGGAATCCTCAAGGTTGAAGGGGAGGGCCTTGGGGGAACGACCCACCTAGGTATTCGTTTCGGGCACATACGACGACTCCGAGTCGCCCGGGGATGCGTTCTACCTATTCTCCAGTAGCCTCCAGCGGTTAGGACGTGGACTTCGTCCAACAGCCAGGCGAGGCAACCGTGGACCTCCACGTTCCGAGCCGCGGGGAGCCGAAGCTGCTGCCCTCGAAGACCCGGCTGAATCAAGCTACACGGTACCGATCGAGGCTGCTGATCGCACTAAATACTGTCCTCGCGGCTGGGCCGTGGAAATCGTAGGCTCGCAAAAGTCGCCGTCAGTAGTGTTTCTGCCTCGTGGAGCGTCACGAGATGTTGTTTCGGCTTTCGGAACGTTCCAGGACTGCCATCTTGACAGCCAAAGCGACCAAGTAATTTTTGACAGTCCCGTCGGGCGTTTGCAATGTGCAAGCAAGGCAGACCGATGATGCGAGCTGTCCGGTGTGGTTCGATCGGCGCTTGCCTGAATCGCCATTTAGGCGACTTAATCGGGGTCATGGCCTTCCACCCAAGTCATGTAACGATAGGGAAAGATGCGGAAGGTCGTTGCCGAAAGGATAAATAGAGGCCGAGGGTTGGAGGATGTGGTCTTAAAACGAGGCTGACTGCAACTGATGACGCATGCTATATATGTCTAAGATTCTTCCTTCCAGGTAACAGTATCCGATATGGTGTAGTGGCCAACATGATGCCCTCTCATCTCGTTGAGAGGTTAGGCATAGCCCCGAGTTCGATTCTCGGTTTCGGAACTTTTCATTTTGTCAATTCTTTCTTATCTCTCCTCTCTCTTTCTCTTTTTCTTCCAGTTGTTTTCATGTTTTATTTGACTTTTGCCTCTCAGTCTTCAAAAGTCTTGGGTTTGTTTGTTTGTCTTATTTTACACACCTATTCATCCATTCGCTCGTGTTCTGTTCCAGATGGAAGCAAGCACCGTGACGTCTGGGCGCCCGTCTGACGGCTCCATCAACGTCGAGGTCGGTTCCACGTGGACGTCCGTCCGTGTCCGGGAACCGACCAAGACGACGACAGACAGGCAAGGCAGGCTTCCACTCCGATTAAGAAGGAGCAATCTGCACTGGCATGGCCAGCCGATGCTAACACTCGACGCGCACGTCAAAGTGCACGAACCGTCCGTCATCCGTCATCAGCCGCCACAGTCCGTCAGCGTACCAGCCCGCGTGTCACCGCACATTTCAGGTAGGCCGGGTGCCGTCCATCATCGAGCTGACGGCTTGGCAGGCCGGCCAGGCGTCGGTGGCAGTGACATACTATTATATTAATATGCACATGGCTTAACAGATCCGTAGAACGCACTGGACGGTTGCCGTCGTTTCACCGTGGGCCGCTAGTACTCCTACCCCAGGGCTGATAAGCGCGCGACAGGCACTGCAAGGAGGGCACGGAAGTAATAACCCGGGCCTTGGCCACTGGATATAGGTATAATAGCGGCCGTGTTATCGACAGATTTGCGCCGGTGAGTCGTTGGCGAGGAAAGGGAGGGTCGCAGAGCTTACACAACTCACCATCCGCACAGTCGGTGGCCGGCCGAGAAAGACCACGTCGCGAACGCCCATGTCTTGGGAGGCAGGAGGCGATGGACGGTCGAACGTCCACCCCATCAGTGACGATGTCCGCCTGGACGGGCAATGTCTGTCTGGGACGGCGATGGCGACCGAAGCAAGTGGGGACAGGAGGAGATTGGAGGGTTGAGAAAGCAGCAGGCCAGTTTCTTCTATACCACTGCGACGCTGGCATCGCCCCCTCCCCCAGAATGGCCCCCTGCCTTTTTTTTTTTGGCAAGATGGGAGAGCACGAGGAATGATTGTCACTCGCGAACGATTTTGATTGAGCCTCCGATCATGGGCAAAAAAAAAAAAAAAAAAAAAAAGGGGGGGGGGGGCATAGAATAATAGAATGGGGCCAAGGTACAATTAGGCTTCGCCCTTCTCGAACAGAACAAGCAAGCAAGCAAGCAAGCAATGCCTAGGTCACGACAAAGGGAGTCATGACCAACGTGTTGGTTTTGGTTATAGATGCGCCGACATATGGTTCGACAGGCAATTCTGCCTTCATCTACCAGCATCTAAATCTTTGTCACGTCCTCGAGCAGCGAGTGGGGGTTTGCTGAGGGCTAATAGATCAAGCAAAGCCCCTGGAGGCTGTGCGCATAAAGGTGTGTGTGGTGCTGTTCCCTCTTCCCCCTTTGGGTGCATATTAGCGACTGAAACATGGCCTCTAGGTGGTGATTGAGGATTTGGAAGGAGGGATTAACGATGGAGGGATGAGGGGGATATCCGGCAGGGATGACTGAGCCTCGAGTGGGTTGAGATGGGTATCGCATGAAGGATGGAGGTTTTTTATCCGCTGGGTGTTGCCAAGACGGACTCGATCATGCCTTCCATGGCGGAACGAAGAGGCTTGATCTGGAGGGAGAAGGTGCCCCACTCCTTTTGAGAGTGAGTCGTGATGTTGCGTCTGATGGTTGACTCGACTCGCCAATAGCCGGCAGAGCCGAGGAAGCGAGAGAGGGTGTGTGCTCCTTCGGTTGCCATGTCAAGAGACATTTCAGAGACATTCCGTCACCGTATCAGCCAGACGAACAAGAAGAACCGGTGCGACTTGCAAAGAGGGAGGGGACGAATGCACAGCGATATGGCGACGCATTGGTCGCATCGTACGCACCCTGCTTTGGTAGTCTACCCTACCTGCTATGTAAGGTAGGCAGTACCGGTAGGTAGGCAGTACCGGTAGGTAGGTAGGTAGGTGGGTAGTGTACTAGAGCGAGCGAGCCATTTTAACCCCCTGTAAAGTACCTGGCTAGGAGGGAAGCCCGGGGAAAGCCGTGCAGACAGACAGGCAGACTACTGCTACATGCCCGTCATCAGTTGATCGGTTGACCGTTTCCTTCCAGCGCATGCCGGCACTTGGAACCTGCATCCAGTCCCGGAAATTTGAGCTTGTTGGTCTGAAACGGCAACGGCCAACTTATCGTTGCATCCCAACATGGCCGAGCCTTCGTCTGGACGAGGTACAATACAATACCACCGGTACCTACCTTGTAAGGATGGATACCAATACCCACGCAGCGGACCCCTTCCTCTATTCGAAATCGACCAGCCCGCCGTAGTTCCCGAATCGTCGTCCATCGTTCACGTACAGACAGACGCCTTCGGTGGCGCCGCCGATGGCAGTCTGGCCGCCCGGCCTCACTCCCGATTTCCAAAAAGGAAAGAGGCAGTAAACCGCTCGAACCTTTCTTTGCCCGTCAGTTGGTCCCGTCGGTGATTCCTAAATTACTGACGCGGACGACGGGGGCGCGTTGAGTCGACCAATGTTCGAATCCCCTGGGTCTTTTTGTTCTTCTTCCCAAACGCCGAAAAACAAACCATGGTGCCGTATCGTCAGGCAAGCGGGACAAGGTATCAATCAACAATTTTTATTTCATCTTTTTTTCTCTCCTTCCTATTTAAACATTTCCCTCCACCTGTTCTATTACCTTCCATTCGCAGACTATCGAACCGTTCGAGGCTACCCCCGTCTCGGTCCTAGACTCGATCCCAAGAAACTGCTCATCCCATCACCCCTCAGCCCACCCCCCCACCCCCAAAGCACTGTGGCCGGTCTGGTTCTTGCAACTGAGACGGACCCTCTCCGTCCCTTCTTTTCATCTCATCCAATCCATTAGAGTACCCAGAGGTGAGGGAAGCGGATCGGGCTGGGTCACCCCTCACCAAGCATCGAAAGGGCTGCCATCTCATCTTGCATCTCAAGCCTCGTGCCGTCAACATCCCTGGTACCCTGCCAGCCCCTCCCCTCCCCTCCTCCATCATCGGGCATTATCCAGAGGCGCCCCCCCCCTGCTGTCCTGTCCCATCTGTCCTCTCTAACCCCTGCTCATCCCTGGTCTGCACTGCGGCGCTCACGCATCCATCCCATCGGCATCAAGAGAGAGAGAGAAAGCGAGTACGGGAGGGTTTGTAGCCAGCCCGTTGCATGTCTCGAATCCTCCACTCCAACGAATGAAGGTTCTCCTCCTCCTCTTCCAAACAAACATGGCTCCTCCCCTGTCCATGATCTGCCCATGCCCTTAGTCCAAAAATCCGATGTCCATGCACCTTGCCACGCAGCCTCTCCCGCGCCCCTGCCAGCCGGCCGTCTGAGGGTCGGACCAAGTCCCCTCTGCCATATGCCATATACAAGACGATTGCAGAATCCTTGCGCTCCGCCATGGAATGTCCTCTTCCTCTTCCCATCCTCATCCCGCCTCCTTCACCAGATGTGTCAGTTGCACGCCCTCTAAAACTCTATACTGTTTTGACTTGTTTGGTGGTTGATCCGGACGAGACGAAGACACAAAACTATTACAGACAGACATACCGTCACTTGCTTCGAAGCCTACACTCTTTCGGCTTTCGTTGCTGCACGCCCGTCCCGCATTGGCCGACTTGAGGAATTATACAATACCACCCGCTCCTTCACACAATATTTCGACACTCACTACCGGCCGTTTCCTCCTCCTGCTTTACTTCCTTGTCTTCTTCTTTTTCCTGTTTACTTATTTAATCTATCCATATCTATGTGCCGCGCGTGCGATCCTACGCTGCTGTCGTCCGTAAGGTTATGGAGGTTGTAATCCCACCCAGAGATCATGGAGCGTCGTACAGATACGTTTGGGACGACGACGGTACCGTCAAGAGGGTAGAAAGGTGCGTTCAAGCCAGCCCTCCTCTGTTTCCTGCCTCTGGATTTTCGGCGCCAAACTGACAGTGGCCAGAGTTCCCAAGCACCAAAGACCGCACCAGAGGGACAGCACGATCAGCAGACAGACGGTGCCGTGGCCCTTTCTCCGGCACCAGGCCTCCGCTTCCGATGTCGAGTCGCGACCCTTCACTGCCTTCACCGGCTTCACTGGTTTCACCGGCAGCTACCCGGAGCCCCCGAGACGAGCGACCTGGGCACCCGGAAAACGCAACTCGACGGTCACGATCCTCGAGAATATCGTTCCGGACTACATTATTAATTACATCAGAGGAGAGACTCCCGAGACCATGGCGCGCAGGAGAGAGGAGCGTAACAGACAGACGCAGAGCCCCGACATGCTCCAGGAGAATGCACCCAGAGGCGCCAACAGAATGAGCCAACATGCATATTACGATGTGGCCACGACAAACACCCTTTCGACGGCCGCGGCCAACGACGACCTGGAGCGGATGCTGCCACCCAACGAGAAGAGGAGGCCTGACGGCACCCTCACTAGAATGAGCTCAGGGTGGAGGGCCGGCGTCGCCTTGAACATCGTCATCGGCATCCTCATCCTTGTCGTTGCCATTGTGTGCCTGGTGCTCGCCGTCGCCGTCGCCGGCATGGCCAGGGGCGAGAGCCGCCTCTTCGAGGGTGACTGCGCGGTCGCCAGGGACATCAAGATCGGCGTCTTCGTCGCCATCAACGTCATCGCCACCGTGCTGCTGTCGGCCGCCAACTACGTCTTTCAGGTACTGAGCAGTCCCACGCGCGTCGAGGTCGATACGGCGCATAACGAGAAGCGGTGGCTCCACATCGGTATCCCTTCGTTCAGGAATCTGCGTTTCGTCTCGAAACCGCGGGTCATCATGGCGGTCATCATTATGCTTGCGGCCGTTAGTACCCAAGTAATGTACGTTGTGCCCCGTCCCCAACCCGCATTTTCCTCTCTGCTCTTCTTCTTCATTGACAAGCCTCACCACTGACCGCCTTGATCAGTTATAATGCCATTATATTCTCGACGCAAACCGCCTTCGACCACCAGGTCGTCTTCGTCACGCGAGGCTTCCTTACGTCCGGGCAGTTCAGCAACGCGTCCGAGACCAACGCCGGCGGTCTCTCGCGTACCGACATCCTCATCCTTCAGGACCAGGCTTCCCGCGGGGACCTGACACAACTCACAAACGCCGCCTGCGCGGCGCAGTTTGGCGGCGTGTTCCAGTCCGACTTCAGCGCCGTCGTCCTCGTCACTGACGTCACCGCACCCGCGAACGCTCTCCTGCAGACGCAACAGTCCGGCTCGTCCCTCGCGCAGTTCATCGACCCGTCTGATCCCTCGCGGATCAGGATCAACAGCTCCTCGGTGGATTACTGCCTCGTCCGCCCCGACGGCCCCAAGTCGTGTGCCGTGATCCTCAACGGCTCGCTCCTCGGCGTCATCATCGCTCTCAACCTCGTCTCCGTTTCCGCCATCGGCGCCGTCTACTTCTTTGCCGGCTTCGAGCCCCTCGTCACCCTCGGCGACGCCGTCACCTCCTTCCTCATGCAGCCCGACTATACAACCCGCGGCATCTGCCTCCTCGACAAGGACGATGTCAAGCAAGGGCGCTGGGGGTACCGTGAGGCAAAGTACTGGATCTCGCGAGACCACTTCTGGCTCCAAACCCCAGGCCTCACCACCTGGATGATCTGGCTTCTCACCTGGATCCTGCCTACATGCCTCGCCGCCGCAGCACTCGCCGTGACACTCGCCCAAGGCCCGACGTCCTCGCTCAGCCCCTATGGCAGCGCCCGCCCTCAAGAGCTGTACACCCTCCCCAGCAGTGCTCCCCGCGCGGGCGTCGCCATCCTTGCCGCCCTTCCCCACCTCCTTCTTGCGGCGCTGTACCTCTCGACCAACACCCTGCTTACGTCCTACTCTCTCTCCCACGAGATGAGCAAATACGCATTGCCGGGCATCTCCCTCCCCCTCCGCGTCAGCTCTGGGCGTCCACAAGGCGCTCAGACCGCCTCTCTCTACCTGACCCTTCCGCGCCCTTACTCCTGGCTCCTCCTGGGCCTCTTTTCCGCCGCTGGCTTTGTGCTGAGCAACGCCGTTTTCATGGTCTCGGTCGACGTTCTCCCCGCCGTCATGGACGAAAAGCCCCCCGCCCCAATCTACGGCATCGGCTTCAGCAGCGTCGGGCTCCTCTACTTCCTCTCCTTGATGGTCTTCACCGTGGCACTGGTCCTCGGCCTCGGTCTCCGGCGCGCGGACCCGTCGCCGACGAGCGTCGACGGCGAGAAGGCGGGCAACCCGCTCGTGTTGCGGGGCGGGAGCTGCTCTGCCGTCATCAGCGCGCGGTGCCACCGCCCCGCGAGGGACATGGGCGCGGCTTTTAAGAAAGTCGCGTGGGGCGTCACCGACCAGGACCCCGAAACCACCTTCGGGCATACCACGTTTTCCAGCCAGGCCGTGAGCGTGTTGGACCCCGCCAAGGGCTACGCGTAGACGCCATCTGTCCCTTTTTTCCTTTTTTTTTTTTGTCTTGGGGCGTCGGCTGTCTTGACTGCTGCACCTCGGGGTGTTTTCCTGCTTCTGCAGATCATGGTTCTGTTTTACTTCTTTTTCTATACTTTCTGCTCAGTTGTACATATATCGGCATTCAAAAGTTTGCTTTCGGGGGGCATGGTAATGGTGTTAATGAGGGGCTGGTGTTGGTTCTCTATAGTGTTTTTTTCCCCCTTGATTGGGGCGGTGGGGGGAGGCGTATACTAAATGGAGCGGCAGGCAAGACCGCTCAGTAGCTGGCTAGGCCTACTTACATATATAGGGATGAACTTTGCGATGGGTATATGGAAGAGGGCGATGATACGACTTGGTATGACTTGAAAGGGTCAAGGACGCTGACGGATGTTGTACTACGTTTATACCCTAGTGTTTTGCTCAGCTGGTCAGGCACGCAGAATATAGAGAGCCCTCTGGATGAGGGCCTCAAGGAACTGGAGACGCTTGAAAAAAGAGCCTTGCCTTGCCATCATGGCACGAATTCGATGTGTTGTGCATTCCTTTTCCATACTTGACCTTCTCTCTCTCTCTCTCTTTCCATCCGTGGATCGCGGGCTCGAATGCAGCCCGAGATTCCTTCAAACTCCAAAGTAGTACAGAAGAATCGTGGCAAGAGACAAAAGGGATTCGAAGGTTGGGTTGGAGATAAACGGTCTTCCAAGGAGTATCGCTTGGGATGAATGATGAATACGTGCTACCTCTTGTAGTTCGTCGGCACTTCGCTTCCAGGACACGATAGGCTTTGTGGAATGACGAAACACGTTTTCTCCCCAATCTTTATCTTCTCTTTATCTATGTATGTTTAGATCATCTATCCGGATCTTGTAAAATAAAACTCCCAATGTCCCCGATTTGCCCAGAGCACTCACCCCCCATCCCTCCCTCCCTCTCCCCGCAAAACGCCTTTAAGCCCAATGGAATCCATTTGCCCCTTTAGATTGACACACGCACATATACACAACAAGCGCACGCTATGCATACCCTCCCCGCAATCCGTGTACACTGAAAACACCGCTGAAGAAAGGGCAAACAGGAAAAAAGGTGGAAAAAGGAGAAAACAAATAAAAGATGTCTGCCTCTCGACGAGCGGGCCTAAGCGAAGACGGGGGCGATGTTGGCCTTCTCGATGCTGGGGGAGGCGACGCTGAAGACGTCGGGCCAGAGGAACATCTTCTCCTCGGCCGGGGTGATGGCGACCATGCGGGGGATGGCGCTCTTGCTCGAGACGCGGCGCCACATGTTGGCGCGCGGGTTGAAGGCGGCGGGCATGCCCTTGCCGCCCGTCTTCCTGTCGTCCTCGGCGCGGATGCGGGCGATCTCCTTCTGGATGTCGGCGAAGGTGTCGAAGGGGGTGTAGGCGATGCTGTTCTCGACGCAGTACTCCTCGAGGCGCAGGCCGCGGCGGGCGAAGAGCACGTCTGCCTGGCGGGCGGCGGGGAGGTCGGAGACGCCGTCGCCGATGAAGACGATGAGGGGGATGGTGCCGTCCTCGCACGCCATCTCGGCCTGCTCGCGGGCCTCGCCCATGGAGAGCGCCTTGTCGTGGCCGAGCTCGTTGTCGTGGAGCCAGACGGGCTTCCAGGCGGAGCCGTCGTCGGTGATCTCGGCGTCGTTGGCGACGATGTCGATGTGCGACGAGGCGTCCTCGCCGAGGAAGGTGTCGAGCACGCGGCGGAGGATGGGCTTCAGGCCCGCCGAGATGACGTTGAAGGGGATGTCGTTGTCGACGCAGAACCTATGGAACTCCCGGAAGTCCGGGTCGATCTCGAGCGTCTTGTCCATGACCTCGAAGCCGTCGTCAAAGGGGACGTTGAGGGAGCCCCACATCTCCTCCGACACGTCGCGGAAGGAGCGCTCGCCCGTCTTGATCTGCTCGTCGAGGATCTCGCGCTTCTTGGAGCCGCATCCGTGGTTGTCGAAGAGGATGTGGCCGGTGTCCTGCATGAAGATGGTGCCGTCAAAGTCTTTGAAGAAGCGACGGTTTTTTGTTAGTCAAACGATGAGGTTTTTTTTTTTTTTGTAGGCCCGCAAGGGGTCGCAGCTCGTACCTGAGAAGCAGATGATCTTGCGCTTCTTGTTCTCGGTGACGGACGACAGGCGCGACTGTGCGGCGGCCTTGACCGTGCCGGGAGAGATGGCGATAGGCATTGTGAGGGTTGATGTGGGTAAGTTTTGATTTTGCTTCAAGTGGTGGATATGGTCCAAGTGGGATGGCAAAGGTATCGTACGTAGGCCGTTTATATGGACTAATATCGTAGAGGAAGCAAAGGCGATGGGTTATTAGAGTTGTCGCGCATCAGTTTCAACGGGACGCGGCCAGCTTTAATAGAAGTCAATGCCCACACACGCACACCACACACATACACACGATGCCGCTGCCGGACGGGAGCGGTAGCGGCAACCCCCCCTTCTCCCAAAAAAGGACAAGGGGAAAAGGCGCAGAGCCATCCATCCGGTCCTTTCACGATGACGCCCTGGAACGTCTAGTGGAGGTTTGGCTCACCCCCCTGCCCCCGTCCTTTCCGCAACTCAACTTAGTGTACGGAGTACACACGGGAGGAGACGTCAGGTCGCGCCAAACTGGTCATGCAGAGCAGAGACGACCATCGGAAGGAAAAAGAAGAAAAAAGCACGGCTAGGCCAATGTCTGCGCGCCCGCCCGTCGGCAACATGACTCTGCACGTTTGGGGGGGTTGGGAAAGCCGCTTCCGGGAGGTTCCAATGTACAACAACAGCAAGCGGCCGAAGGGCGCCGACTCGGACGGCGTTAAACGGGCGCATTGCAGAAGCAGAGTAGCAGTCGCCAACGGAGGCTACATACGATGACGGCGTCTCGCAGAACTCGCAGGCATCTGGCTTTTCCGGACCATGCCCAATCGGGGAGCGTAGTGCGATCAAGGAGCCGCGGCCTGCCCCATCGGGATGATTGGGTGGCTCTCGTTCGCCCGTCTCCTCTCGGATCTGGACTTTCAGGAGGAGCTGAGGCGCGTGGATAGATGGCAAAGGCTGTCACGCTGTGTTGCCACGCTCTCACACCATTCCGGAAAGACGGCCGGCAGTCTCAAGATTGGGCTGTGTGCAAACCAGCAGACTGGCCGCTCGGAGCTTCCTGGCAACCCAAGACTCGTGGCTGTTGGTGTCGCAGAGCCTCTTGTTGCTGATCGCCAGGAGAAACTCCCACAACCATGCCGCACACGGAACGGGCCCGCGCGTGGAATGACAGATCTGGCCGTCAGCACATCGACTCAAGTGGCAGTAATCAGAAACAGTGTGGCCAAACCCAACCATTTCCGACTGTTCGAGACATCATCCATCGCCCCGGCTGATGAATGGCTGCTGAATCCGATACTATGGTCGACGCGCTCTCTGTTCACTCGAGCGTGGGGGGCTCGGGATACGACATGATACACCCGTCTAAAGTCGTCGACTGAACAGAACATCCCAGCCCCGGACGGCCGCTTTACCATAAGCCTGACCACATCGGTGCACTGGGAAGGATGGGAAGGGCACATTAGGTCATTGAGACCTGACGACATGCCACCATGCCACCGAGGGCGAAGTCTTCATCTAGCCCCTCTTCTGCGTGCGCCAAGGTGAGTGAGCAGGCAAAGGATCGAAGGGAAGTCTAAAAACGAGGATGCGGAGAGACTTTGCTGCATGTAGCGTAGAGGAACCCCGCGGCTTTTCCATGATGCGTGCAGGGACTGGCACGAATGGAACCTGGCCATTCCAGGTCCTCTCGGCCCACCCGTCTTTGGCGTCGGGAGAGAAATTGGGGGCATGTGGCATTTTGGTTGGCAGACGGGGAAAAGATCGAGGAATCGAAGATTCAAAACTACCAAGTCCGATGATGTCATTCCGTCCCGGGTGGGGGCACTTTGCTGAGAAATGCCCATGTTCGCGTCCGGCACGCAGTTTCGGCGATGCACTTAACCTCCAAGGCGCGCTAGTCAAGTAACTTTGTATCGTAACGCGACAGCAGCGCGCTGCATAGGACCATGTTTAGTTAGCTGCCTTTGTTGACTCGTCCGGGAGTTTGTCTTGCTGCACTGTTGCTGCACTCCAGCTTGTCTAGCCCGAGGCCCGTGGAGACGGCATATGCATTGAGAAAGGGGCTTGAGCGTCCACATCGAACTAGTCCAGGCCGAGGATTCTGGGGAGGCTAACAAGCCTCCAATGTATCCATCCCATCTGCAGCTGCCCAGGCTTCCCATTCGTCTTCGTCTGGTATGTCGCTAGCCTCGCAACATTCAGAACAAGAAACTCTGCCGGCGACTGCATGAGGAGGCATCCATCCCTCTGTTAGTCATTCGACACCCATGCCCGCTTTGGCGGTGAGCACAGACAGAGAGGCACACGCTGCGCAAAAGGTGAATCTGACCAGTAGGGACTCTTGTCGTGGATGTTAACCACGGCGAGCCCCTCTCTGGCTCGCAGCCTTGGCCGTCTTCGCCAAACCGATGACGGTTCTGGGTCTTCCTTTAAGGGACATTTGCATGTGCTTGCGCGATTATTGAGCCGAGCAGTTCGTCATATCGTATCAGGGTAGCTGCATCGTACCGTCTTGGGGGGGTTGGAATCTATTCGAGCCACGCGAATCGACGCAAGACTCTGAATGACCCTCTTCGACGTCTTGCCTTGGCTCCACAACGACATACGGCGGGACGAAGTTCGATGCTGTGCGATGCGAAAGATGGTGGCAACAATTTGTGGCTATCTCTCATGGCTCTAGCTGAAAGTTCCTGCCGGACAACCTGCTCCGTCAGCAACAACTTGAACCGCACGTTCATTTGAGTAGTCCAGCAGGCAAGCCCTAGCCCACAATGCCTGCCACGAACTTGTACTTGCTATGGTTAGAACAAGCCCTGACTCGGGATGTGAGGATCAGCCATCCGGCCGGTGGCTGTTACTAGTAAAGAATGGGATAGCCATGATGCCTATGGGCCAATGTACAAAGCCATCGATCCGCCACCTTGGTGCGAGGCTTCGGCCAACCGGCCTTTCCCGGCCCGGCCTCCTGTCGTTCCGCATGGTTAACTATGCACGCCCCCGAACGGAAAGCTGGCCAAATGAGGCCGACGAAACAATGGACCCTTCGAGCCCTGCTGATCACTGGTGGCGTGGGCGGGGTCGCGCGCAACTGGTAAACAATCGGACTCCCAGCGAGGACGAAGGAATGGGTATCTTTCAAGCGGAAAGTAGTAATTCGGGGGGTCTCGTTGCGCTTTTCCGAGCCGTTGTGTCCATTTGAGTTCCTCTAAACCGTACGCCTAATATTATGCCTCATCAGCAGTACATCAACCCTACAGCCTAAGCCGACACCTTGGCGCTGTACTTGGTCGCCGCCTTGTCGAAAAGTGCGCTCTTCTCCTCCAGGTCCGCAAGGAACTGGTGCTGAGGGTCCGCCGCCTTCAGTTTTCTGTACCCACCTGGTCAGCCAGTTGTCTCGGAATGGGGGACGCATCGGAACTTACTCCGTGAACTCCTTAGGATCCTTGCCCGAGATCACTGTCAACACCAGCAGGTTGGCAATGGCCTGGGCGTAGTTAGCGTCCTTCGCAAGTGCTTGATCTAACGCAGCCTGTGCCTCCTCTGTTCGGCCAAGGTGCAGCTCTGCAACGGCCTGGGAGACGAGGGTCACGACCGACGATGTAGCCGGTGCCTGCGCGAGCTCCTCAAACACGTAAAAAGCCTGCTGGTACTTGTCTCCGCCCTGTTGTCTCTTTAGTATTTTGTCGCCGGACTCGGGTCTTGGTCATCGTACCTGTCGCAAACCGACCCACGATTCGGCCAGGTTGACCAGCAAGCTATCCTGTGCCCATCTTCTGGCGGCGGTGACCTCCTTGAGGGCGAGGTCGTTGCGGTTCTGTTGGAGGTGGATCTGGACGATAAGGGCGACAGCGTCAACTACAAACCACACATTAATTAGTACGCGTTATCCCATGAGGCGTACATCTACCAAACTTACGGCTTCCCTGGTGCTGCGACAATAGCGCAAGCGCCTCCTCGGGCTTGCCCGCGGCCTGAAAAACTGTGCCTCCAACAATTTGGACTGTAGTGTTGGCTCCCTCGGAAGCGGCGAGCTTCTCGATCGTCTTCACGGCAGAATCTGTGTTGCCGAGGGCGCTCTCAGCGAGTGCGCCAAGGGCTACCAGTTCCGGCTCCTTCTCTCCCTGTACTTCGGCGAGGACATCCTTGGCTTGGCCAAGAGCAACGCGGGCGCGCAGGACCAGGACGCGAGCGGGAAGCTCATTCTCGGGGGACAGGGCGGAGGTGTCGTAGTCGATGACCTCCTGGTACTGGCCCTGGTGGAAGTGGCTGTGGATGTTGATCAGTTCGCCTTCGGCAGAGTAGGGGTCCATTTTGGCGGTTTCGTTGGAAGTGGTAGTTCGTCGTTGGTTGTTGATGCCAAATGACAGCCAGATGCGATGTGTTCCTCTCGACCACTTAACTGGTGTGGGGGGACTTTGAGCAACGTGGAACCCTGAGAAGGCACGGAGGATGCCGGCCGGGATGTGGACCCGACGAGTGGTCTGTGCGTCGTCGATGTCGAGGCCATACCAACGACACCATCCAGACAACACCTCGTGATCACAGCCTCCGTCAACAAGGGCTCACGCCGGGATAGAGCTTAGAACATGCTGTTTGGTTTTACGAATTTGTTCCAAATACTAAGTTGCACAGAAAGAGACTTCAATGTATCATTTTCTAACCAATTTGTATCAGACGTGTTCGGCTCTATCACTCTCCTTCCTGGTCCCTTTGCGCGGTATTCGGCATGTAGATGCTGCAAAGCGATCCAAGGACTGTGACTTCAGCAGTGTAAATTCTTCGATTGGGGCTTATACACTCAATAGGAAGTTGTACTTCGAAAATTAAATGGAGAGAAATCGCGAACGATGCGGACAAGAGCCAGTATCGAACCTCCTTAGTACGTTTACAACGCGTCTTCATGCTTGATGAGCAGGTTAGCATACATCTTGTAATGACAGACGATAGGAAAATTTGATTCAGTATACATAGAACTGTAAACTCTATTGATTTCATTCAACATGACCCTTGTGATGAAAGTTCTCTTGGCATTCCGGGGCTGGCTATGCCCTGGCAGCAGGTTTTTCTAGTTAGATGCAGACCAGGGTTTTCAGATGGGGTCAATAACACTACAATGAGAGCATCAAGGAAGGCACGCCTGTAATATTTGGATCCTTCCAAGTGGATTTGGTTTTCCCTCATTCCCATCCTTACAAGTCAGACAACGCCTGCGTATCTATCTCGCCTCACTCCCCTTTGACCCCTCTCATATTCACAGAAGCATTATTCTTCACATTCCCTTCCCTCCTCACATCCTCTCTTTATCCTTTGTCATCAGTGAATATTTATTTCACTCGCCAATTTTCCACATGAGAATCCGTCTTTGGTTACGGGTACGCTTCATCCTGTTTGCTGCCGTCTGCCACCAGCTTGCTCTAGGCCTTCGTGCCCGCCTCTTTCGTGAATATCGGGCTCAACGACCTCTTCACTCTCATTACAGCTGAGGTATTGCACAATTTAACTCGTCTCATTGGCCATTTATCACAAAGATTCAAAGATATGGACCCGCGTGAGTTAACAGGAGGCTTCGACACTCCCAGAGGCACTCCGCAGCCCTGTATTCTCGATCGAAAGAGGCCTGTTGCCCGCTTTCCTGATTCATTTTCTTCGAACCTTGGTCGGAAAGCTTCTTCATTCTTCTCTCAAGAAGATTCAGCTTCTGGAGTTGACAAAAACTACCCTTCTCCTCCTCCCATTCCCGAGAGCAAGAGCGTTCTTCATCGCAAACGAGACGTCATTCCTGGCTTACCTTCACCTCATCCCCTACCTCGAAATCGACAGATATCAACCGTTTCTTCAGTCAAAGCCATAGTTGCCAAGTTTGAGAGCGCTGGGGACGCTCTCGAGAAGTCCGACAAAATGGCTGATCACGAGGATCATCACCTCATTCCCTCTTCGCCCGTTGTCGACAAGCACAAGGACAAAGCCTCCTTCGCCGATGATGCCGACACCAGCGCTGCTTCGCCACAGACTTTTCAGCCTCCCAATATTGGCGAAGGAAAATCTGACAATAGCGACGTCGATCTCGAGCTCCTCAAAATGCAGGAGTTCTTCAAGGGTGAGCCTCTTGCTCGCTGCCTCGAAGACTACATCCCTCCAACCTACATCGACAAGAAGACGAAAATCCTTCCTCTCGAGAAGGATTGTGGCAAGTCCATGGAGAAGGCCGCCAAAGTTGAGCTTTGGAACAAGCTGGCCTCCCTTACCGACACTCTCGAAGCGCAATACCCATCTGTCAAGGAAGAGCGCGAGGCCAAGCATGCAGTCATTTCTGCGGCGGCCGCTTACCTCGAAGAGGCTCTCGGAGAGTCACCTAAGAAGCTAGCCCAGGTTGTAGCGACACAGACAAGCACCAAGGCCTCTCGAAGAGCAGAGAAGAAGGCACAGAAGAAAGCTGACAAAAAGGCTCAAAAGGCTGCCAAGCTGGATAACTCCATCGCCAACACTCTTGCAGTCGCCTCATCGTCCATGAACGAACAGGTCGCTCGAGATGAACCGTCACTTCGTGAGAAGTATCCTGAGATCTTTGCTAAGATCGACTATTGGAGATCTCTTCCAGACCCCGATGCGCCAGCTGACGTTGACGGCGACTATACCTCGATTGCTGATATCGACTCTTCTCAGTCGAATGATCAGCCTATTGATCAGTCAATCAATCAACCCGTTTCGAAGGCTGCCGTGGAAGAAGCTCAGTCGATCCCAAAGCAGCGTCACAACACTCTGTCAACCAAGGTTGAGGATGACAAGACCCTTGCTGATGATTCCTCCGAGAGTGATAATTGGAGCACTGGCTCGTCTAATGGCGACCCGTTCTACCTGAACAAATACCTCACTCCGTCTTATCAGGCTGCTGCCAAAGTCTTCCTTGAGGACTTTGAGCGAAAGAACCCCACTCAGCCGATTACCAAATCGACAGTTCAGCAAGCCCTCCCCGAGGCCACTGAATGCGAGGAGTCATTCAAATTCGTCCAGAGAGACCCGAAGGAGGTGGATACGTTCTAGAAAGGCGTGCGAACCGCTCTCCATGTCTCCGATAACGAGCTTTCCGATACCGAGGAAACCAAGAAGGACAAGGCTATAGAGGCTGAGAAGAAGAGAATTGAGCTCAACAAGCGCTCCCACGAACGCGTCGACGCTGCTCACGCAGATGGAAACATCGTTCATTGCGTCAATTACAAGTCTGCTCGTGACGCCGTTGAGACGAACATCAAGAAAGAGGATATCGTCCCCAGCTTCGGCCAGAAGAAGCAGCCTGCTCCCGAATTTGACGAAGAGGCTTACGCCACGCGCTCAATCGCTTCCCATACTTTGAAGCCTGCACCGCTGCGTCTTCCTTCGCGCATGAAGAAGCCCTTTACTGGAAGCGACAAGATCGACGTCAAGAGCACCACTCCGACTCAGGCTAAGACCCCTCTGCCCCCCGGTGCGCTGTCTGTCAATACCAACAAGTACCGCATGGTCACTGGAGATTTTGCGACTCTCGGCGTTGGCTTCGGCAAAACCAGCAACAGAATCGCCAGCGGTTCCTCTACTCACAGCAGTCGTGGCGCCGTCAACTTCAGCTGGCCCAAGGCCCAGCATGCCGATGCCAAGAACAAGTACGAGTTCAACGACGACGATGACTCAGACTACGACATGGACAAGAAATCCAACACTCTTCCTACTAAGCTCAATACTAGTGTTCAATGTTCGGATTCTGTTTCAGTTCATCCCCGAATTGTGAGTGCTGGTGGCCGAGCCCGTGAGATGCACAAGGATGGCGACGCTTTCGACAACAAATCGGCTTATGGGCACTATGGCTCGGCGGCTTCTGCCACCGCGCAGTCCAAAGGTTCTTCTCAGAATTTTTCATACACACCTGCCCAGCCGAACACTACTTCCTCAAATGGCAACGACGAAGAGAAACAACGCCGCAGTTTCACCGCAGACGAGTACCAGACTCTCATTCAGGAAGATTACGATGCCTTCGCCAAGGACTCACCCGAGAAGAAGCAGAAGCGGCTTGAAGATGCCATGACTGGCTCGAAGACCGGTTCCTCGATGAGAACCACCGAAGTCACTTCGAACATAACGCATCATACCGTGGTTGTTCCCGCTCACCACCAGGGGTTTACCGTTCGTCTGCCCAACGCCACGGCTCTACCGCCTACCCCGGCCACTTCTCACGCCCCCATGACGACCGGCGAGAAAATGGCTGAACTGGACGACTTCTTCTCCGAGGAGAACGACCACCGGTACACGACTACTCGCACCAACACAGGCTCGACCTACAGCTCGGACTACGGCGATGGAGCAGGCACCAGCGTCCAGGATCAAGTTCATGATCAGCCCTGGAACGATGCCGACTACCACGAGGAGGCCCTCTCGTACGGTTATGCCTACAAGCAGACCAACTACCATGCTCTACCGCACTCCGTGAACCCCGTTCCTCTCACTCATGAACAGCGCCACCAGGTCCTCAAGAGCTACGGCATACCCGCTGACCAGTACCCCGCCCCTCCGATCGGTTATCCCAACCCTCCCGGCCCGGACGAGGGATCCAAAGCGCCTCCTTGCCCTATCCGTGCTGCACCTGTAGCACCCACGACTCTCAGTGCCGCCGAAGGCGGTGGCGATGGAGCAGGCAGACGCGTCGACAGATCCAGCGCCGACGATGGAGCTGCCGTCGAGAGTCTGCGCAAGCACCGCCGTTTCCGACGAGCTGCTACGGCCCCCCCTGCACCTGCTCCTGTCAGCCCTGCTCCTGGCTACGACGCTGACTGGTTCTGAGAAACGAATGAGGATTGACGAACGGCTACGGACCGGAACGCCGTCTCTTCTTGGTGCCCAACGCTTGCCAGCTGTCGATTTTGCCTCTGCAGTGGACACGAAGACGAAAATAAAACACGCATCTTGTCGTCGAAGCATCCTCGCGGGCGGAAAGCGGCATGGTGAAATCTGTTTTCCTTTTGCTCCCAGCTCTCGGATGTCGATTTGCCATCTTTTTTGAACCAGTGTGCGACGTACCGGCTTTGGGTCATCGGAAAGTTTTGCAAAAAAGAAAAAAGATTGAAAAACATTCATAAAAAACATTTTGGGTTTTAGGAAACTAAGACCTATGGGCTCTCTTCTATTAAGTTGACTTGTCAGAGTACCGAGAGATGGAATATTTCTCTAGCTTGGCAGAGACTGCGCACCCTTCTCTTCTGCGGCACTTCCTTTTCTTGTTCAGAGTACGACTTGGATCTTTCCACCTTGGAAAGAACCCGGAATCGTCACAGCTATGACTGGCTTCACAGGCATAGCTCTTGTTGATGTATGAGATACCCCGTTTGAGGGTGAGGAACGGACATCGGACACACATTGGGACGTACAGAATGGACAAACAGGAAACAGGGGAACACAACCGCGCATGGCTTTCAGACTGAAGGCTAGTTAGTTAGTTAGTCATGAAGTCGATACAAGAGACTATTTGAAACCATACGCTGGAGAACGATACCCTCGACTTGAACGGTGATACAAGATGGAAAAGAGTTGATTGATACTGATCAGTACTGGTAGGCTTCAAAGTACGAATTTCGTGCTTTGGCATCATCGTTGGTGAACGTACGACGAGTAAATAACGGCCAGACCACATGAAGCCTGCCTCTCCGCCATAAATTATACTGCTATGTTTGGCTGGTTCATGCATCCCGCGGGTAAGTAGTACCAAGTTTGTCAAGACAATCCATGGCTACTGCAGACCGCACTGGTAGCCACTGGACTGGTGGTTGGTTGGACGATGGGATGCAAAGATCAAGGCCCTCACTCCAGTTCATGAGAAGAGAAAAAAAACCGTTAATAAAGAGATAGAAAGAAACCGCAAGATATAATATATGATGATCAGTAAATGTTCGTGGAACGGACCCTCTAAATTACGAACACATCGCTATGGTAGACTTCTCTCCTCATCTTCAAGACCTCGCCAGTAAAAGCAAACATCAATGCCCACGTGACCTGGAATGAGAAACATACCAGGATATCATTCAAGAACCGTGGTCCTGTGAACGTTCCATAAGTGATCTCATTTCTCTTGGAGAGCTCGTGTAGATTTCACCGCTCGAAGCAATACTAGCAGTTGCCGAGCGCGTCCGGTACATTCCTCGTTGAGAAGGCAGCGAGTCTACCGTGTTCATTCTCTCTGTGCTCTCTCTCTCTATGCTCTCCGTATTGACGTGTAGGGTTGGCTCCACAATCGGTCTTCCATTGGGCGTTGAATGTGGTCTTACATCCGCTCTCCGATTCAGCCATAGTGAAGATGCAAAACTGGATGAAACCAGCCTGTTTCTTCCGCGTGCCCTCTGATCATCGGGCACCATGATTGGGCTGCGGTATCCTCTGGACACGTTCTTCCTGGAGAAAAGAGGAGAAGGAACTGATTCTACGCCCTGGGAAGCAGCTGCGTTATTTGCCCAGCGCAGTCTGTCTCTCATTACTGGAGGCGGTCTCAGATCACCCCACGCGGCGCCATCATCATTCGGCCGCCATGAGTCTGACCTCGTTGGAGCTTGTGCAATTGTCGGTAGCGACTCGAGAAAGCTATGGTCCGGTAGTTCGGCAGGACGGTTGTCGTCCGAAAGCTCCACTGGTCTCTCCTCATTCAGTACCTCCCAAGGACCGTGGGGGTTCGGCTGAACTTCGCTACCGTATGCCTCGGAGGGGCCCCAACCTGCGTTCGGATGGATCCTGTCATTTGGAGGGTCCGGATATTGGGTTTCCTGTAAGTTGACGACGCTGCTGTCGGTAGATGGTCTGGTGCCATTTATATTCTCGGGACCGAAGATGCTTCGCTTCTGTCTGCTTGATTCCTCATCCCTGTACTTGCGTACAAGGTATATGACCGCGAGTATGGTGATGCATATAAGGGCCAAACAAGCGAGAGTCCCTCCTATTATGGCACTGATGTTGAGCTTCGAGCGCTTTGGAGTGGTTTCGTTGGAAGGAGACGACACTACAGGCTGAGGCGCCGGGCTGACCGCGCTGGATATTGACGCCAATGCATTGCTCGAACCAGAATCTCTGATGTTTTTGGATATATCTATGGGTGATGGAATATTTTTAGAAGTCGGAGATGCTTGAGACTTGGAAGAAGTAGCCGTTGCCCTTCTCTCCCCTGACTCGGTAGCAGTTAGAAAGTAGTTGTATGTTGTCGCAGCTGGACCACAGCCGATCTCGGTAAACGTCATGTCTGCCTGAAATGCAAGCAGATTGGTTTGGCAGTATTGCCCGGACTGGGTACTGTATTTAAATTAGGCATCTGTGATGGACTTATGCGTACTGCGGCACTTACCATGTTGTAGAGATGGCGTTAGAGCCCTGGTCTGTCTTCCCACAACCCTTCTCACAAGTATGTGTGTCGAAGCAGTAGCCCGGGAAGTTGCAATCGGAAACTTCCCGCACGCCGGAGTTGCAAAGTCCCCAGAGACCATTTCCCTCATCGACCCGGCACTGAAACCCCTCGAGTGCTGTGATTGGTAAAGTCGGATTCCCATCAGAGTAGCCACATGTCGTGAGGTCCATTTCCAACTGCCGCCTCATCCTTCCGTAGTTCGCTTGTACCATATGGGGAGGTGGTGTTGGTTGAGGCGCGGGCTGTACGCTTTCGTCTCGTGGCCAAGGAGTGGCTGTGGTCGTGGGAGCGCCATGGAGGAGGAAGAAGAAACAGAAGAAGTGGGAGGAGGAGAAGAAGGAGAAGGAGGAGAAGGAGGGGACGTTGTGAAGTGTCATGAGGGGATTCCGAGTAGTTGACACTGTCTAATGATTCCGACTGCCGAAGGAAGAGAAAGCCAGAACAGGACGAGATAACATGAGCAATGATGAAGAAGTCTGGTAGTCTGGAGGGAATAGGACATAAAACGTCCCCGACGGCGGGGTACCAGCCATGGCTGTGTTGGTCCAAGAGGGGGCCGGTCCAACTGTTTTAAACAAGACAAGCGACACCCCACACGAAGGCAGGTTCAGCTGGCAACGATTTATCGTCCCAAAAACACGGACGGATGGGGGTACTAACTCGGGCTCTTCCCGTCCCGCAGACCCTGCTTGCCTAAACAACATGACATGATTAGTCGGAAGCCTAACCTACTGGGTCAAGGACGAAAACACCCATGAGTTCGCGCAGGTGTCGTTTCGGGACACAGGGGCCATGTGCGATGTTTGAGTCTTTCGAGGGCATAAACGCTTCGTGTACGGCAAGCATTCCAACCGAACCGTGAGCGTGAGCGTTTAGACGGTGATGCTCATTGGTCCTCTAATGGAGTACTCGCGCGGCAACATAAATGGGCCCAACTTCGGCCGGCATACGTAAGTGGTGGGCGCCCCCCGCTGCGCCGCTCGCCGGCATGTCTTGGACAGTAGCGGATGGCTCAACGGCGCAAGCTCGCTGGTCAGCGATGTCAAAAACAAATACTGGCTGTTGGAAAGTGAGGCTATTCGCATGTCGATATTCCATTCTGGCATCAGGTTCGAATCAGTCTCGTTATCGTCTCGAAAAAGTTCAGTGTTGACAGTGCCAAAACGGTGTTCCCGTATGAAAGAAGGAAAGACCCTCTTGACTACCCATTGAGATTCGATTCACACACATACCCTGGCACGAAAGTGGATCACTCTACGGCTAGAATGGGGGCGACGCTTTGATGTGACCCTACCTTCCCACTATCCGTACCTACCACAATTTAGCTGATCGTCGCTTGCTCAAAGACATGGGCGTACGAACAATGTGATGTGTTTGTTGTAACACATGGGGGCCATGAAGCTAGGCGCAGATATGAATTGAGAAGGTCGCGCACCAAGCTTTCCGGGTAGGAGCTTATGTGTCTTTCGTTTCTACTCTCCCAACTCGACGCTTCCCACCCCTACCTGGTGGCCGACCGTCCGCCTGTCTTTACAGTATACCGTGTCGCGAAATGAGCTAGGCAGAAGTTGCTGTAGGTTCGAAATGAGACATATGTTTGTCCACGGTCTACAGATCATCGCTGCTTGTCTAGCGGTGATCGCGCTCCTCGTTGGTTATGATCTCTTTTATGGAGGTGCATATCTCGATGTTGTGTACCAGCCTTTCCGTAAGTCCACGCCATCAATCTCTCCACTACCAGCCAAAAAGAAAAGCACTAGTATGTTAACAACCCTCAGGTTCGGTTGAAAACACCATTGCGCATCACAGTATTAGCCATGCCATCCACATCCCAACATCAACTGTCACATTCCGCCCCACCCGGACTCCGAATCCTACTCTTGACACCGTCTTGACACCCACGCCGATACCACCGCTGCCCGGTGATAACGATGACACCGCCTCCGCATTGCCGGACGGCGACCCGGAACACCTCAAGAATGCGCCCAAGTACATCACCGCGATCCTCGACGCGGACGATAAGTCCATGCCCCGCCTCGACTGCCCCCGCCCAGATACTGCGCGCTACCAGTACCTCAAGCCTTCGGCCGCGCTGAAGAGGAAGCCCAAGTACTTCATCGCCCTGAACATCCGCCAAAAGGTCGAACTCCTCCCGCGGCTCATGGGCTCCATCGTCGAGGCCCTTCGCTTCCTCGGCCCGGAGAACTGCGTGCTCTCCGTCGTCGAGGGTAACTCGCGTGACGGCACCTACGAGGTCCTCCACCTCCTCCGCCCGGAGCTCGAGCGGCTCGGCGCCGAGTACCACTTTTCCCGCAGCGACCTCGACCCGGGCGCCGGCGACCGCATCCCCAAGCTCGCCGAGCTGCGCAACATGGCCCTCGCGCCCCTCGTCGCCGACCCCGCGCGCTACGCCGCCGACGCCGTCGTCCTCTTCCTCAACGACGTCGCCGCCTGCCTCGAGGACATCCTCGAGCTGGCCCACCAGCGCCTGTACCTCGGGGCCGACATGACGTGCGCATTCGACTGGACCTACGTCGGCGCGGACCCGACCTTTTACGACGTCTGGATCAGCCGCACCATCGCCGGCGACTCCTTCTTCGAGATCCCCCCCGACGGCAACTGGAACTCGGCCTGGAACATCTTTTGGAACGAGCAGACGTCGCGCCGGCGCTTCGCCAGCCACAAGCCGCTGCAGGTCTTCTCGTGCTGGAACGGCGCCGTCGCCGTCACGGCCCGCCCGCTGCTGGACCGCCTCGTGCGGTTCCGCGCCCCCAGGCCGGGGGAGTGCTTCCAGGGCGAGCCCCAGCTGTTCTGCAAGGACATGTGGAACGCCGGCTTCGGCAAGATCGCCGTGGTGCCGAGCGTCAACTTGGAATACAGTGACGAGGCCGGGCGCAAGATCAAAGCCGCCAAGGGGTACACCAGCCAGTGGGTCGGGGACGAGGACAAGGACGACGACTTCAAGGTCGATTGGAAGGCCGATCCGCCCGAGAAGGTCAAGTGCATGGCCAGCTACGACAAGCAGACGTGGGAGCCCTGGAATCAGGGGCTAGAATAGTTCCCGCGAACTGCATGGTCGGTCTCGTGGATGATAACAAGATCTAGTATTAAAACAGTTATTCCTTTCCCCGAACCGGTTGCTCGGACAGCGTTATACCCAAAGCATCTGATTCCTGCGCCCTCGGTTCTTATTGCCTTGTGAACTAATGTACAGTTGCGTATACGCATGATCTACGCAAGTTTGTCTAGCTTCTAGCACATACTATACCTACTAGAGAACTTGGGATCTTGTCTGCTATTCTATAGATAAACTAGTGAGGGCAGACATAGATAGAAGAACAGAAACCTAGCTAAGTCAGCAAGTGTACAGTTCGCTATCCATAACTATCACTACGGACTTTTACCTAATACACAACCTTGAAGGGTAAATATATATACTATTAGGTTGTCCCTAATTAGGCAGGGAAATCTATCCTAAATTCAATGCTTATATAGTAACATTATCTACTTTGGCCTATTAACCTATAATGTCCTTGGCCAATAACATTTTGTCTACACTTTTAATAGTGGTGG